CCACACCCCCCCCTGATACTAGGCCAGTCCCCCATCCCTTCCCCTATGCCAACCTCCATCCTCATCCTCCTTTCAGTCCTCATAGAATAGAATCACAGAACCACAGAATTGTCTAGGTTGGAAGAGATCACCGAGTTACAACGATCAACACACCACTGCGAAGTCCACCACTGAACCATGTCCCTCAGCACCACATCCCCCCGCGTTTTAAACACCCCCAGGGATGGCGACTCCATCACTTTCCCGAGCAGCCTGTTCCAAAGCCTGACAACCGCTTCCGTGAAGAATTTTTTTGCCTAATATCCATCCTAAACCCCCCCGTGGTGCAACTTGAGGCCATTTCCTCTTCTCCTCTACCTTGTTCCTAGGAAGAAGAGACCGACTCCCACCTCTATCCTTCCCCTATTTGTAAGTGCGCCCGCCGCCCGCTCCTATTGGCTGAGCCCCGCACGGGCTGCGTTCCCCCTTTCTCGGCCCCCCCCGGGCGCCGCCCGCCGAGCGCTGAGGTTCCGGGAACGGCTGCGACAGCCCGTCTCTTCTTCCTCCTCCTCCTCCTCCTCTTCCTCCGCCGTCGCCGCCGCTCGGCCCGGGGTCCTGCCCCGCGGCGGGGCGGGGGTGAGTATCCCTCCTCCGCTGCCCTCTCCGCTCCCCCTGGCCGCGGACGCGCGGGGGCGGACCGAGAACCCAACGCAGGGACGGTGTGTGCGACGCCCTGTGGCGTCCGGGTCCCCCCACCCCACACCTTCTGGAGCTCCCTGAGGGGGGAGCCGCCTCATGACACCCCGTTTTCCCCCATAAACACCCTGGTCCCCCCTTCATCCCGGTGTCTCCCCTCTCCTGAAGCCCATCCCTGCAGGGTATGTGGCTTCATTTGCCCTCGGGCTTCCTCCCTCCCACTCTGTGCTCGGTCCCCCTCCCGCTTCCCCTGACACCTCCCTTTTATTCATTATTATTTTCCCCTTTTTTTAACCTATTATTGCTGCCTGGCCTGTAGAGAAAGGTCCTACTAGGGTGGGAGTGTGCCAGGGCTTATATCTTCTCCTGACAAAGGGGTGAGCCCCAGGAGAGTTGCTGGGCTGTGTCAATTTCCAGGGCCCCAAATATTTAGGGTTTTTCCCTTCACCCCGGCAATTAATTAATTCAACGGGGATATCCCACTGAAATGAATGTTTCTTGCTGTTTTAGGAAGGAAACAGCCTTTGCTGGTCGTGCCCAGGCAAGAAGGTGACGAGGGAAAAGCAACATCTCCACCACCCGTAGGGTGACTTTGTTGTCAGATATCCCACCAGCATTAAACTTTGTAAACTATGGAAGATCCCAATTAGCCCAAGGTGGTGGGATGCTCCTGCACGATTTCTTCTTTTACCTCTGGCAGCTTACGTTTTCATGGATTTAGAGACTCAAGTCGCATTTTTAAAGCAGGTTTTGGGTTTTTTTGACGCAATAACATCTGGTGAACGCTGCCTTGGCTCAGCCAGGAAGAGTATCCAGCCTGCATGGACAGGGCAACCTTTGCCTGTTCCACCGCCTTTTTTCGTGACTACCACAGCTCATCTCAGGGTGCATTCTGCCTCCCCGGGGGTCACGTTGACTTTATCGAAAAAGTAGAATCGTTCTCTTACTCGGATTTTTTCCGGGATTATTTGATTCCCAACCATCCCTGTATTTTCTCAGCTAAATTCACCGAAGACTGGGGCAGCAGGAGAAATTGGGTTACTTGGGATGGAAAGCCCAACTTTGATCATCTGCTGCAGAAGTTTGGTAAGTCATGGCATTTTTAATACCTAATTAAAACCTGTATGCTAAATGACACTGGTTTGTTTTTTTTTTAATCTTACAAATAGAACGGCTGGACAAAACCAAGCAATTCTCCAGACTTTTTTCTACCTAAATACATTCATTTTTTATACTTACACTTTATGTTTTGCAGATTCCAATCTTGAATTTATTCCCATAATGAAATAAAACAAAAAGTGTTGTATAATTGAACCATACCAATTTATACACCTGCTTGACTTTAACCTCAAGAGCGGCCTGACGCTTTCCCCAGGCAAGGGGAAAGTATTCTGTAGTTATAGTGAAATACCTCTTCAGGCTGTAAAATATTAGTTTAATTAACAGGAATCGATGTAGTTTAAGAGGAAAATTCGGGTCACATTGAATAAATAACTTCTGGTCTGGAGTATATTTGCCTAGAATGATGGTATTGGGAGGGAGAGCAGGGCTAGGGGTTGTGGCTTTAGTTTGTACTGCATTTTAGCATGAGAGGGCCTAGGTGTTAGAGGCTGCTGCAGTGGATAAAGTTGATGGAATTCAGTTTTCAGCATCAGTTATTCTCTCCCCACGTGCGCTCAAAGAGTTTACCTTTCAGGAGAGGCCGTAGTACCTGTTGCCAACTGTGATGTCAAGGAGTACAATTCTAACCCGAAGGAGCAGCTCCCCTTCAAGGAATATATAAAATACTGGAAAGAGTACATTAAAAATGGCTACCGTTCATCCCGAGGGTGTCTTTATCTCAAGGACTGGCACCTGAGCAGGTAAGAGAGCATCCCCTGCATACCCTGCAGAGAGCTGCCGCGCAGCCCTAACACTCGGCTTTTAATGCCTGAACATTTAAATGCTGGTAGTGCTTTTTGTTAGTGCCTGCCCAGCAAAATATCAGTATTATACCGCACAGTTCTTGGCTTATATCACACAGAAGATCCTTAAACAAGTCCTTGTTTCCTGAAGAGGCTGACATTCATGAGTGCTTTCCCTTCCACCTATGTTTTAAATCACTCTGTGTTATCCCTGTGGAAACCATGTGGCTGGAACATTAGGCTTTTGTTTGACTGCTACAATGCAATCCTTCTTATGGAGAAGGGGGATATTTTTAATTATTGTTTGACTGCTACAATGCAATCCTTCTTACGAAGAAGGGGGATATTTTTAATTATGTTTAATTCAGTGTGGGTGAGTTATAATCCTTTGTTATCCTTTTTTTGTTATTATTCTATGTGCTTGTCAAAAACTTGTCAAAAATCCCACAGCCTGGCTTCCCTCCTAACCCTCACCCCCCCCCCAGCTTGTCATCCAGTGGGAGCAACCAGTCTTGCAGGCATCTCATCTAAAGAGAATGTGTTTATTAGCAACTCTCTTTGCCATAATTAGGAGGAGTCTCCTAAATTAAGTAGTTAACTTTCACAGCTTTCCTGAGAGACAGAAAAGGACTGTTGTGTGCATTTTGTGTGCAACTGAGAGCTGTCAATGATGTGAAGGAGATGGCAGCAAAGTATTGATGGCCTGAAGAGACCTGATTGCTCTCTGGCTCTGGGAACTGAAGCACAAGGAGCAATGCTGCTTTTTTCTGAGACCTTTTTCCAACACTTTCTCTTTTTAAGAGCTTTCCCTGAGCAAGATGTTTACACAACCCCTGTGTATTTCTCCTCCGACTGGCTGAACGAATACTGGGATGCTGTAGCTGTGGACGATTACCGCTTTGTCTACATGGGACCCAAAGGTTCATGGTAAGGCAGTGTGGTTTCTCTCATCCTTACATACCTTTTTTTAAAGATTATTATTAAAGGGGGTTATCACATTGTCCTTCAGGATAGCAATACTGTTGTGGCTGAACCCAGCCAGCCTCGTTTCTCAAGCAGCTCATTTGGCTCTGGATGTGAGCTGCCCTTATGCGATCTGCTAGAGTACTTTTCTACTTCAAGAAGCCCTGAATTGTGCTCATAGAATCTCCAAAAGTTGTCAGCCAGCTTTTATAAGGTTTTAGAGCAGAAACTCCCTGGGGCTCACCAGCCTTTTATGATTTGCAGAGTCAACAGGAGCCTTGGAGGGGCGCTGATGAGTTGGTCAAACATGTTGCAGGTGAAAAATTAAGTCCAGCTTTGGTGATGAAGTTGCATTTATAGTATTGTCCTCAGTTTCCATCACAGAATCTCCTGCCATTGAGGAATCTGTGGGACAGATTCAAAACGAACTGATGGAGAAGCACAGAGGCTGTCAAACACTGCAATACTGTGTAGATGTAGTGGCCTTTTAATCACAGAATGGCAGGGGTTGGAAGGGACCTTCGGAGACGTCTTGTCCAACCTCCCTGCCAAAGCAGGATCACCCAGAGCAGGTTGGACAGGAACTCATCCAGGTGGGTTTTGAAGATTTCCAGAGAAGGAGACTCCACACCCTCTCTGGGCAGCCTGTTCCAGGGCTCTGCCACCCTCAAAGTTTGTGCCCATTGTCCCTTGTCCTGTCACTGGGCACTGAGAAGAGTCTGGCCCCATCCTCTTGACACCCACCTTTTAGATATTGCTCAGCATTGATGAGATCCCCTCTCAGTCTGGTCCAGGCTGAACGGAGAGAAGCCTTTCTTCATCAGAGAGATGCTCCAGTCCCTTGATCATCTTTGTAGCCTCTGCTGGACTCTCTCCACTAGTTCCCTGTCCTTCTTGGACTGGGTGGCCCAGAATTGAACAACACACTTTTAATACTTAAAGCGGTCAAAATGAAACGAAGAGGGTGACAGTTTGGGAGCAGGTTTGCACACTAAAAGTTGATTTCTCTTTGTATGCCAGTTTCTTGGAGACTTTAATTCATCTTGCAGCTTTTAAGCGTTGTCTTTAACCTCTGATTTGCCCCACAGGACTCCATTCCATGCTGATGTCTTCCGTTCCTATAGCTGGTCAGCCAACATCTGTGGGAGAAAGAAATGGTTGTTGTACCCTGCAGGACAGGAGGAGTACCTCAAAGACCGCCACGGCAACTTGCCCTTTGACGTGACAGCACCTAATCTTCAGGACAGGACCGTTTACCCTCGCTACAACCAAAGTCAACCGCCTGTTGAAATCGTGCAGGAAGCAGGGGAGATAGTCTTCATCCCCAGCGGATGGCACCATCAAGTTTACAACCTGGTGAGATAATTAATTCTGACCTTTTCATAACACAGGGAGATCAGCAGGCTTGAATCAGAGCAAACTTTTCTTGCCATAGCACGTGGTGGATGCCAAAAGTCTTTAGCTGGGCTCCAAAAAAGTTCAGAGAGGTTCATGGAGGAAAGGTCTATTGGTGGCTGCTCGAGTTGGTGGCTAAAAGCAAGCCTGAACTCTTAAGCTCCTTGGGTCATTGACCACTAGAAGCTGGAAGAGTATACAATTTAGGAAGCTGTCTGAACCCTCTTTCATTATGCTTGTCCTTATTAGAGTCATTGAAAAATAAGATGCTGGGTGAGATGGACTTGCAGTGAGGCTGTTAATCTTGGTTTCTAGCTGTAAGTTGTAATTTATTAATGGAAAATGCTAACAAATCGGCCTTCGTGATCACAAACCAAAATTAATGACCGTGTTCCTTTCTCCCCACTACCTTCTGCCACTTTTGTGCCCTTAAAAGGTATGTTCAGACAGAGGAACTAGAGACATTTGCCAGTTTACAGAGCGAAACAAGATTTTATTGTTCAGAGATGTCAGAAAGGGCCAGCCTTCCCGCACAGCAGTGATGTTGGTGCCAAAGATATGGTTTTACATTTTGCAGCCCTGACCTGATGTTGTTACAGCTGTTTTCTCCTGCTTTCCTATGCAGAGCCTAATAACCCTTGAAATTATTCCTTCAGGAGGACACCATTTCCATCAACCACAACTGGGTGAACGGCTGCAACGTGGCTCTAATGTGGTGCTTCCTGCAGGATGAATTAGCGGCCGTCCAACGGGAAATCAACGAATGGAAGGATCCTATAGACGATTGGCACCTCCAATGCCAGGTACAACACCATGGGGGTGGCTGCCTGACTTCCTCTGAGGGGATCATACATTTCTGGGCTGCATCGCACCACCTTGTGAGTTATAAGAAACACAAGTCCTTGATCTCATACCTGGAATCAGTACGTATTTCATGCAGAAGAAGGAACTGGTGAGGCCTTCGTTGTGCAGGAAATAAATATTAATTTAGTGACACAAGGAAAGAATTGTGCTGGTGCATATTTGCAATGTGAAGGGGGTCAGGATGTTGTCTGAAAAACTAATGCTTCAACTGCTCTCCAACTATCAAGATTAGCAAAATCAATCCATTATGTAGTATATACTCACAGGGAAAGACTTGTGTTGGTGCATATTTGCAATGTGAAGGGGGTCAGGATGTTGTCTGAAAAACTAATGCCTCAACTGCTCTTCAACTATCAAGATTAGCATCAAGATCAATCCTTTATGTAGTATATATGTTCCCCTTTATAAAATATAAGTGCTTTTTCACATGAACAGAACACAGAAGAACTGCTTTGAAGACTGCTCATGGTGCAAGAGCAAATCTGAAACAAATAAAATTAAGGTGAAGGTGGCAGCAGGTTCCTGTGTCTGCAAAGTGATGCTTTCAGAACACATAACTATATTGGGCAGTGTTCTGTCTTGCATGCTTCCGAAATCTTAAGCATGAAACAAATGTAAAGTTTATTTCTGGAGGCTGGTTATTGCTGCTGGGTTGATATCCTTTAAATATAGATCGAAAACACACAGCTCTTTAGTACTTAGAAGAAACAGAGTGTTGCTTTTGGGGCTGGTGGCATTTCAAGTAAGGGAAAAAATTTCAGTGCCATGGGGAAATTATAAAAAATATGATTAAAAATGGTTACTTGTGATTCTGGATAGATTTTTAGCTTGATAAAATACGGTTTTGTAATTCTTACTGTAAATAAGAGTTGTTTCCATTTCATTGCTTGGTTGTTTGTTTTTTTTTTCCCTAGTTGATCATGAAGTCTTGCACGGGTATAGACTACAAGGAGTTCTACAATTTCCTCAAAGTTATTGCAGAGAACAGGATTTCTGTCTTGGAAAAAGGCCTCGATGACGAAGCTTCGGCAAAGAACACTCCCAAAGCTGCCATTTCCACCTTGGGCATGCTCCACGCCGTGTTTGATTTAAAGAGGACTGTGAAGGTGTTAACATCATTGAGTGCTAATGAAGATTTCAAGAAACTAGACCTGACGTCACTTTCTCCACCTCCGGAGGTATTACTCCACCACTTGAAAGCAGCAATAGATACAGCGCTACTTTAAACTTCCTATTTATTCACTTCTTTGTAAACCAAACCCTTTTTTTTGCAAAAATGGGTGTTTGTAGAAGACTTGACTCCTCCCTGTTTAATAGCTGTTGCATTTTAAGTACAAAGAGCCTTAATATAGAGTGGGGAGAGAGAGTACATTCATAAAAAGATTGAATACTTTTAAAATTGACAGTATTTTATTATCTAGAGTAATTAAGCAGGGAAAAAAGGTGTCTCAGACAAAGGAAAAACCCATATTATGTTAGTATTATCTTAAGAGCCCTGCTGGTGAGTAATCAGGGAAGGGGAACAGAAATTTTCTGTGGGTCAAGCTTAGGTCTGCGAGGGCTAAACACTGAGCTTGCACTGTATCCCCTCTGCTTCTGACAGCAAACCTGTGCTGCAGGCTCCAGCAAGTCAAGCTCTGCTTTGTCTGGGCACACCTCAATTTCATTAAGGCATGTCCTGCTTCCAGGTACAGCTCAGTCTTTCTTTTCCTTTTATTATTATTTTTTTTTAAAAAAAATATTAGAGGACCCTATTTAATTAGCTGCCCTTGAAGCCTGAGCTGGCTCAACAGCTGTAGCCTGGATGTGGAAGAGCTGACTCTAGTATTTTTCCTGCGTGGTGGCATCTCTCTAAACCTGAAAGTCTTGGGTAGAGTCAGCCTTTGATGTGGAAGAGCTGACTCTAGTATTTTTCCTGTGTGGTGGCATCTCTCTAAACTTGAAAGTCTCAGGTAGAGTCAGCCTTCGGGGTCTGTGGGGTTACATTCAACACATCAGGAAGCCAGAGCCCTGCTATCTAATCTGCCAGAAATAATTGCAGCGTGTGATCCACCCAAGCTCAAAAGGAAGCACTTGAATGTACTCTCCCATTTCTACACACTATTTCAAGGCATGATATTTTATCAAGCAGAGATTTAATTAATCAGGGAAGCTAGCAAATAGCCTCGTATTATCTCCTAAAAAAAAAAATAAAACAAGCCATGCTGTTAACACACCAAAAAAAGCACTACTGCATGGTTACATAGCACAATTTGCAACCTGAATGCTACCCTTGGGCTGAAAAAAAAACCCAGAGCATCTTCCAGTAAAGTATTTCTCTTGCTTTAACTGGTTGATGAGAAAGCCTAGAAGCACAAATGGCTGCACACTGTTAACCTTAGTTGCCCCTTTTTAGGGCTCACTTGAATTATTGCTGGAGAACTTCCTCGGTTTTCAACCAGACGACCAGTAAGAGCCACAACTAATCCTATGTTTAGAAAGTGCAATAGTAGAAATCTTCTGTAGGCTATAAAAAAAACAAAGAAATCACATTGTTTTCTAGCTCTTCCTGTGGCGTTTGTACGTGCATGCATTTTGCATGTCCTATTTTCTAGTAGAAGTTCTGCATTTTGAGTAGGCACCTGAAATTAAAATCACTACCCAGAGCATGGAAGAATGCACTATGGAGAAAAACCACTTTTTCTTTTTTTTTTTTTTTTTTTTTTTCCCCTCCTTCTTTTGAAACAGCTGTGACTCCGTCTCGGTGATTCAACCTTCTGGCAGGGTGTTTCTTTAGACTGGAAAAGTGCCAAGTTTTAAACCACTCTTGAAATTAAAAGTTCACAGCTGTTACTTAGGGCTGTTTACAGGCAGAGCTGGAGCTCTCTTGCTTACCCAAATAAGGTGAGATTTCGTAGAGGTGAGGAAGAAAGGTTTAAAGCTGACAAAAGTTCTGCTGGTAGGAAAACACGGATTTGGGGTTGGATTCCCCAGTCCCACAACGTGCTGTGGAACTGGTATTGGCACCAACTGCATTTAACACCACATTTTTATAAAGGGTTTGCTTAAATGAACAGTACTTTTCATCTCATGCCCCATGAAGCTGGAAGGGTTTGGGTTCACTGTGTGAAAACAGCAAAAAATACAAGTCTAATTTTACATTGAGAACCCAGTATGGTGACCAGTTTAGACACTACTGGCCAGTAAAGCACATCCTCCTTTGGATGGATGGCACCAGTTTGCTGTGATGCAAACATTCAGGCAGCAGTTTTTAGGGGAAGAGGCAAAATTTCCACAGTTAGTTCCTTTTCCCCGTGGAAGAGGGGTAAGGAAGACGGAAGGCCAACGCTGTCAGTTAGTTCCTTTTCCCCGTGGAAGAGGGGAAGACGGAAGGGTGGCTGAAGAGGTGTTCAAGCAAAGGAAAGTGGGTCTTAATTACTCACTTTCACTTTCTGTTCATCTCAACTGTCTCTGCACCACAGCATCTTCAGCTCTGAAGGTGTGTAAGAGCCATCCTTCGGTGTGATCAGAGAGAACAGGGTAAAAAAATAATAGTTTAATTGCAGGGAATGATCTTAAAAGTTTAAGCCACGTTCTCCTCTCCGATTCAGCAGGGAACAGAAGCCTGAAAATTAGTTGTATTGAGTCAAGGTTGCAGGGAATGATCTTAAAAGTTTAAGCCATGTTCTCCTCTCTGATTGGGCAGGGAACAGAAGCCTGAAAATTAGTTTTGAGTCAAGATTCTCTCACAATTACATCAGTAAATTAATTTGTAGTTCAAATTCACCATTCCTACAAATGATGGAGGCAGTTAAGGGAGCCACAGGTTAATTCTCTAATGCCTGAAGACAGCAACGAAGTTGGAATAAGAAGTATGCAAGTCTGGAATCTCTCTTAAAAATTAAAACAGCTTTATTTAAATACAAAGTTACTGTAAAACATACATTAGGATACTCTTCATACCAATATATTAACTATTGTAATCAGTGTACTATTTATTAAAGCATAATACTTGTGATAAACAGGAGGAAACAGCCTGTAGAGTTTTGTTTTGTTTTCCCTAAGTCACAGGTCTGGACAATTTAGATTTAAACTGTAAAAAAAAAATAATAAAATAAAAGCAGGTTAAAATCTAGTTCAAAAGAGCTTTTGCTCTAAATAAGCAGCTCAGACATTGCTATTTTTGTCTGATAGGAACAGGATACCAAATATCCATTTGCCTTTTATAAAGGCAGCATAAACCCCACCCCAATTTTAATCCCATTTTGTACCCCGCTGGCGTCAGCAGGCGGTCTGTCAGCATGAAGCTGTGCATCGAGGGAAAACCAGTGTTTTTGCAGAAACCCCACCCCAATTTTAATCCCATTTTGTACCCCGCTGGCGTCAGCAGGCGGTCTGTCAGCACGAAGCTGTGCATCGAGGGAAAACCAGTGGTTTTGCAGCTCTGTCAGTGCAGAAAACCAGGTGGATTTATGTTTTCCTCTCACCAGGATTTGAGATTTCTCACCCCAGGACAACGTATGTCCTTCCTATCAGGCACACGTGGCCCCCCTGCAGAATGACAAAGCAGCACTTGCACGGTCAAGGTGCGAGTGTGACATCCCTGAGATCGAAGAGGAGGCTGCAGAGGATAAATAAATGCTTGTAAGTCTCATAAAAATAAGGAAATTAGTCAATAGCAGCTTTATAACACAATGGAGAGGTACTGAGTTTGGCTTGGGTGGGAAGAGGAATGGAAAAACCTTCCTTTTAGGGATACAGGACAAGGCACCTCGCTCCAGGAACAGGTTGTTGAGGAGCACGGAGATGGCCTCTCCTGGCCATGCCACATTTCTGCCACCCAGAAATAGTCCCACCAAACCAGGTCGTTATGGTTTCATTTAATTGCTTTCTATAAAAAAATCACCTCCCTTCTGTCAGTTCACCAGTGCAAAACAAACGCAGCGGCTTGAGAGAAGAGTTAAAAATGAGGTTTTTCAGGCAGATTTCTACTCGCAGGAAAGGGAGATAAAAAAAACTACAAAAAGAAACCTTGGCCACTTTCCGCAGAGAAATTCCCAAACATGAGCTGAGGTTGCACAATGAAGGCTTTTAGCCCCCAGCATCCGTGTCTCCGTGCTTTACGACCATAGCAAGTCGAGGAGAAAACCCAGCAAGAAACCCTCATCTGATAAATTAACTGTTCTTCCCTTTTTGAAGGCAGCTGGAACAGCAGTGACTCGATTGCTTCTTCATCCAACAGTGTTTGGTCAAGAAAGTGCAGGAGGGAGGGAGGAGGCTCCCTTCGGGTCCCAGGGCTCAGGAGCTGTGAGGGACATGGCAGGTCTCTCTCTGGTGGAGTCTCATCTTCTGGATGTGTTCGTAGCACGACTGGGCAAGGAAGAGAGCAACCAATTAAGGAGAAGTTTTGGGAACTTTTGGGTCAAAATCTGGTCTCTTGCACTCAACTGGAAGCCATGTTGCCCCACGGGTTAGTCAGAGAGTAAATCTGCATATCATAAATTTAAGATAAGCTGGGACTCTTTAGTCTGGAGAAGAGAAGGCTGAGGGGAGACCTTATCAATGCCTACAAGTATCTCAAGGGAGGGTTGAAGGAGGAGGGAGCCAGACTCTTTTCAGTGGTTCCCAGTGAGAGGACGAGGGGCAACGGGCACAAGTTGGAACATAAGAGGTTCCACTCAAATATGAGGAGAAACTTCTTCACAGTGAGGGTGACAGAGCCCTGGAAGAGGCTGCCCAGGGAGGGTGTGGAGTCCCCTTCCTTGGAGATTTTCAAGACCTGCCTGGATGCTCCTGAGTAACATGCTCTAGCTCTAGGCAATCCTGCTTCAGCAGGGGAGTTGGACTAGATGATCTCGATGGTCCCTTCCAACTCTAAAATTCAGTGAAATTCAGTGAAATATTCTCTAGACTAGAAGGAAGGTAACCTGTGCTAGGCATATAAAATTAAACGAGCAAATAACACATCAGCATCTCTGCTGCTCAAGAAAGGCTACTACAGCATGAAGCTGTCACTGGTGAAGATTATTTCCTTACCTCCAGTGCTGTTAACAGAAAGTCGTACAGTCCTCCTTGATTGGTGGGGTCCATCAAGTCTCTGATCAGATGGATTTCAGCTCCCAGGTGCTGTATTCTAGGGAAAAAAAAAAAAAAAAAAAAAAAAAAAAAAAAAAAAAAAAAAAAAAAAAAAAAAAAAGTCACAACTAGAACAAATCTCTGGGCACCAGTGATTTATGGGTGTATGCTTGAAATCAGAGTATGGAGAGAGGGAAGCGTAGATCTGGAGTCATAGAATGGTTTAGGTTTGAAAGGAGGACCTTAAAGATCACCTAGGTCCAACCCCCCCTGCCCTGGGAGATTCCAACACCTCCCACTAGACCAGGTTGCTCAAAGCCCTGTCCATCCTGGTCTTGAACATCTCCAGGGATGGGGCATCCACAGCTTCTCTGGGCAACCTGGGCCAGGCTCTCACCACTCTCATAGTGAAAAATTTCTTTCTGAGATCTAATCTAAATCTCCCTTCTTTCAGTTGGAAGCCATTGCCCCTTATCCTATCCCTACGTGCCCTTGTCAAAAGTCCCTCTCCAGCTTTCTTGTAGGTGTCATTCAGAGACGTGACTTACTTTGCTCGGGATACAACATACATCAGTAGGGGCAACAGGTCATCCATGGGGAGCTTGTAGTCCTTCTCCACCACCCGGGACACCGTGCTCTCTATCTCCTCATACGTCTTCTGGAGGATCACCAGCTTTTCACGGGGATCCACTGTGGTGCTGTCAGTGTGAAAACAGCCATGTGAAAAATGCTGCCACTACACAGCTAAAGAGATAGAGCAGAAGAACTAGAAAACTTCAGAGCAGATGGTCATGCTACAAAGTCCACCAATCATCCCAAATAGCTGCTCTAAAAAGTGGTCAAAAAGGTTGTGCCAGGAGGCATCACCAGGGTGTAAACTTTATCCAGGTGGACCTTGAGTCTTCCCACTTCCTGAGTGTGACCTGCTTGCCCCAGTATTGGTCCCTCATTTTAGACAGGGCTAACCCGAGTCACGGTCCCTCAAATAAAAACTAAAGAGTATGAGATGAACCACTGTTGGGGTTCTATCAAGATATTGCCCTTACAAGAGACAATCCAGTTGTCACATCTATAACGTTGGTTTCTTCTGCCCATAAAGCCTTGCCAAGGTACACGCAGCCTGTGCTGCCTTTTCCAGAAGAGAAGTCACGTTGGCTTTCATAGGGATGGTCTCACCAGGACTAGTGTATTTTAGGGACCTGAGACCTCCTGTCTGATGGATCCCACAACACTTCTGTGCTCCCCTTTATCCTCTTTCCCACTCGTCACTGCAGCACCACCCTCTAGGCTGGACTTCAAGACAATAGATCAAGCTGAGCTTCTTAAATTGAGCTCTGCTTTGCTACTTTGATGTCTTGGGATGCCACACTGGATGGATAACCCTCATGTAGCACACACAGAGTGTGTCCAGAGCAATGGGCACAGTCATGACCAGGCACTCACAGCCAGGCCCAATTTGCCATTCACACTGACATGAATGATCATCAAAGTCAGATTTTTATGTAGGAATGTCTCTGGAAAATTAAAGGAAGGGGAGATATTAGCTATTTAAACACGATTGATACTGTTATGATATTTTTTTGGGACAGTGACTTACATCAGCTTCTGCAAACACTCTGTGGCAGAGAGGAAACACTTGTCTTTGATAAGGGACCGCCTCTGAAAGGGAGAAAAAGAGTTGTGCCTCGGTAACAGCATCTCTCTGAGAGCCACCACGTGGCTCCTCCATGCTGGACCCAAAATAAGTATATTTGCAGCCCATAAAGGAGGGTGAAATAAAGCTGTTGTAGACAGCACCACTTTGAATACACTGCAAATATCCATCTGAACACAGATGTCTTTGAATCACCACAGAGCAGAGCACTGCAAAGCAATCCTGCACAGAGCTCATATCCCCATCCATGGAAATTCATATGCAGCAGCTACAATGAAAGGGAGAAAAAGAGTTGTGCCTCGGTAACAGCATCTCTCTGAGAGCCACCACGTGGCTCCTCCATGCTGGACCCAAAATAAGTATATTTGCAGCCCATAAAGGAGGGTGAAATAAAGCTGTTGTAGACAGCACCACTTTGAATACACTGCAAATATCCATCTGAACACAGATGTCTTTGAATCACCACAGGGCAGAGCACTGCAAAGCAATCCTGCACAGAGCTCATATCCCCATCCATGGAAATTCATATGCAGCAGCTACAATTAATCATAGAATGGTTAGAGGTGGAAGGGACCTTCAAGATCATGTAGTTCCATCCCCCTGCCCTGGGCAGGGACACCTCCCACCAGCCCAGGTTGCTCAAAGCCCCATCCAACTTGGCCTTGAACCCCTCCAGGGATGGGGCAGCCACAGCTTCTCTGGGCAACGTGGGCCAGGCTCTCACCACCCTCACACCAAACAAGTTCTTCCTAATCTAAATCTCCCCCTTTCAGTTGAAAGAGGGAAGATTCACCCACATCACGTAGCTCCGAATTCTGAGTGCATGCTGTCCTGTGGTTACTTGGTGAAGCTCCATCATTGGCCAGCAACAACACATAGCCCCAACGCTATCTCATCATCACACCAAAGCTACCTCTTAGTGTTATTTCTTACCTGGTTGGTTGTCAGGGTGAGATCTTTCAGAGGCCAGAGGTGTCTGAAAGGAGATTACAGAGAGAAGATTTAGAAGGCAGATGTCCATGCCTTAACTCCACCCTAAGTCAGTCTCGATTGTTATTATCTCCGTGTTTGAGGTGATGCAAGAGTCTTGTAGGTGCATGAGGCTGAGTTTGCTCCTCCCAATACACTGCTACAGGAATAATGAATAGCTCAGATTCATTGACCTGAGCGTAGGGTTCGTTTTACTCAGAGATGCTTCTATAATAATCAGTGGAGAGTTTTAGCATTTTCAGATTAATTTCCTCTCACTGAATCTAATCTCCAAATTTAGTCTTCTGCCACCCTGCTTAAGCCCTTGAGCTGCAGATGATGCTGTGTTAGAAAAGCCTCTTGAGTCTGAGTCATTGGTCCTCACACATCACTTCCAAAGATGGATCCAGCTGCAGGACCAGATGAAGGAGACATCTGGCTCCATAACCTTTCCCCTGTGTCAAAACTACGTCCCCACACTGTTAGAGGAAGTACCATTTGTTGGACTCTAAGACATAATTTATAAACTATATCTGATTATTTCTGTGTTGGAGCAAACCATTTTTTTGGTGGGCTAGAAAATAAGATTTTTTTGCTAAAAAATGAAAATTAGCAGAGATAATAGTAATTACTTCAGTTCTACAGCCAATGATGGACCCAGGAACAGGTTATATGTCCTTTCCTCCTGTGCCATCAGAACTTTCCCTGGCCACTACCTTCCCAGCTGGTATCACGGGATTGCATCCTGGGATGAACAAATGTCACCTACTTCTGCACATCCAGAAACTCCAGCAGCTTGATGTCAGGAAAAAGACTTAGATCCACTATCCCTTGGCAGTAGAGGTCATCTTCTCTTTCATGATAGAGCATGTAGAGCATGAAAAGTTCAGGGTAGAAGCAGGGCAAGATCAGCGGCAGGACCACACTGCATGCCTTCTGGTCGCTGTGAAGGAGAAAAGCAAAGCAGAGTCTGACAGTGAGACCTACAACCTTGATATTACCACGAGCCCCACAACACACAATGGAAGAGGCAGCTTCTGAGACTGAAAGGTGTTCTCCTTGTTTCCTGCTCTTTCCTCTATCTCTGAGTTCAATGTCACAGTTGGACAGCAGTGACCATTATAATGTGTGCCCAAAAGCTGAAGATGCAAGAGCATCTTATGCTGTAGGACGGGACAGTTTCTCCACAGGATCTCCTTAGTCACTTGGAGAAACCTGGAGCACCAGAGACCTATCTCCGGCTGTTCTTTCTGAGCTCTTTCAGTAGAGCACTTATTATTTCTTAAGGACTAAAGATCACATAAATTCAGATCAAGCCCTTTTCCAGCTGCTTTCCATCCCACCAACCTCTTGGCTTCATTCAGCCCACGTGAGGATGGCTGCAGCTTACAGCAAGAGAAATCCAGACCAAATAGGGATAGTTGAATAAAGATGCTTCTTCCCACCCCCAAAACCTGGGTTTCCCACAATTATTTCTAGCTTCTTCTTCCAGGAACATCATGTTTTCTACCTTCTCTGCCACATTTCCCACACTCTACTCCCTGTTTCCAGGCCTAGCCTTTCTCTCAGCACTGGTATGGAAGACATCAGCCCCACAACGAACAAATTCCTGGGACTAATGCAAAGGAACAAGGTAGTGCTGGGACTATTGTCTCACACACAACTGCACGGAACCTGGTGTGGGTAATCTTGCAAGGCCATGACCACACACACCTCCAACTCACCACTCTAGTCTGCTACAGACCACAATTAGAAGACGTTGCTTTCATGTTTCAAGCAGAACTACTGAAATCTTTTCACCCAGAGAGAAGTGTGGGCACTAAATCTTGCCTCAAACGGACAAATACAATCAGCTCAGCACTAAATGCATTTTAAGAGACACCCCAAATGTCCAATCACCTTAAAATTAAACAACCAGTGGTCACACATACCTTGTATCTCCATCCACACACTTTGCAGGCAGTTGGCCTTTCTGTTCCAGTGCCAGATGGAGCAAACCCCTAGAAGAGGAGCAGAAACAAGGTTTAGTTCCCTCCCTCTTTTTTTTTTTTTTTTTGTTTTCCACAAGTGAAGAGCTCAGCTGACCCAGCATCAAGTGGAAAGCTCTTTATTATCCTTGTATTGTTTCAATATTCAAATTTCACTATTTGAGGGCTTTCTCCACTACCAGCAGAAGCTGTCAGGAATGAATCAGTGTTTCAAAAATCTCTATAGCTTCTGAAGAGCAGGGTGGTCACTCTGGAGATCTTAACTCTGGTCTGCATTGAGCACCATCTCCTTGTATTCAGGGACATGAGGTTTCAGGACCTGGTTTCAGCCTGGAGAAGAGAAGGCTCTGGGGGGACTTTATTGCATCCTTCCGGTACTTAAAGGGGGTTTACAGGAAAGATGGGGACAAACTTTTTAGCAGGGCCTGATATGATAGAACGTGGTGTGATGGTTTTAAACTAAAAGAGGGGAAATTCAGACTACACACAAGGAAGAAATTTTTTACAATAAGAGTGGTGAAACCCTGGCCCAAGTCGCCCAGAGAGGTGGTAGATGCCCCATCCCTGGAAACAATCAAGGTCAGGTTGGACGGGGCTCTGAGCAACCTGGTGTAGCTGAAGATGTCCCTGCTCATGGCAGGGGGGTTGGACTAGTTGGGCCTGTAAAGGTCCCTTCCACAGCAAACTATTCTATGATTCTATGACCTGTCAGACCAACCAATTTTTGAATCCATCTATAAACATCAGAGGATGTTCATACTCTGAAAAATGGGTTTGTCTTGATATTTCCAAGCCAAAAATTCATAATATTAAAGCATAGATTCAGGAAAGGTTGCTTTTAGGCTTTTTTTTTGGTATCAGCCTAGGAAACCCAGCCGGGGCACGGTAGAGCAAGGTGTGTCTTCCTCCCCACGCTGCATCTGAAAGGTTTTGATATATGAAGCAAGCTCTCCAAGCTCAGAAGCACCTTCAAATGAACCGATGCTCAGGCTGAGAGCCCTGTTGTCCTGTTCATGAACACAGCTCAGATGAACTGAACCAAATCTAACTTGTCCCCATCAGTTGTGCTGCTGTTCTCAGACTGCTCTGGGGCAGAAAACCCCTCACCACAGAGCTGGCAGCCTTCCTCACACAAGACTACACCAATAACAACAAAGCTTTTACCCAACTTGTTATTTTTAAGGCAATACCACCCCGAGTGCAGCTAGAGGCAGAGTTCCCCACCTCTGTTTCTCACTACCTTCTTGTATCTTCTCCTAAAAGATTTTCTAACAGCAACAGGACCCCAATCATGCTTTTGATCCAGTCCTTAATCACCCATGGGCACAACCACACAATGGAACAACCTCATTTTAGAGTCACTACCCACATCAGCTGAGCCCCAACGACGCGCTTACACTGCATGTTCTCAGCTCCTGTTGAGGCATGTTAAGCTTAAGCTATTTTTTATTCAAATGTAGGTATTGAACACTGCTCTTGTGTGCTCTGATACACTTTGCTGTCCTTGCTACTTAGCGAGGTTTCTTGCTTATATTTGTGGTTGTCTAAATAAAGTCTTATTATGGGCAACAGCTCATTGAGCTGCCGTAACCGAGTAAGATTTAGTCATATTGAAGCTCCTGTATCTTGTACTGAGCAATGGGCATAATAAAAGTTTTCTAGGTCCATATGACCTCAGTTATGGCAAATAACTCTTTATCTAGCACCATTCTGAAGCAATGCTCCTAAAATAAAGCAGTCCTGTCACCTGAAAAAATGATCCTGATGGTCTAACTCCACGAGCCCTCTGTGGTCGTACCCATTGGAAAGACTCAGCATGCTCGACTTACTGGTAAAACTCCCATATTTTCTTTGCATAGTACTTGACTTCCTCTTGTGCCATCGTCAGCAAGTGTCTGTTGGCCCCAATCCCAGAATACGTTGCCTGAAAAGCTATCGTCAAGGCCTTCAGCAGCTTTCCCAGTGGGTGCAGGGAAGACTTCAATGCCTGCATGTCAGAGGAAAATTAGATTTTACAAGTCAGCCCTTGGCATTGGTAGAGGATAACGCTGAGAGGCCACCCAACCTTCTCTTATCAGCAAAGGAGAACAAGCCTAGAGGTAATCAACTATAATTTTGGTCTGGTTTTGCTGCCACAAGCCCATTCTCCTCCCATTGTCAGGGAGAAATATGCTTACTGGAATTGCTGTTCTGATGAGATTTGCTGTGATACTGAAGAGAGCACACAAAGGGTGCTTCAGGGTGAAAACCAACTGCCAAGAGTGAATGAAAGTTTATTAATCACTTCCAGCAGCTGGTTATTCCCTGATACAGTTTGAGATCCAAGAGCAAAGCTTTGTCATCACTTTCTGGCCTGTATAGCTGCTGTACACAATATGAGTGTCCAAAAAGCATGAAGGATAATCCTCTTCTTCACAAGTATAGGTATTCACACAGAATTTAGAGAAGACTCCTGAAGTCACTGGAAATGTTATATGTGCTAACAGAAAGCTACAGAAAGTTCCTATAACCCACGTCAGTGTCTGTTGGACAGATGTGAATCATTCTGGTTTTAAACTTTACCTTCTCTAAATAATTCTGTAGTGACTCCAGCCCCTGGTGCTGGACAAGCTCTTCAAGAATATCTTCTATTTTCCAGGATACATCTTCAGTCCCCCTAAAAAGATGAAAGGTGAGGAAGGAAAACCACACGGCGAAGCACTGGGATAAATCCCAAGTGTTGTAGCAGGTAGACACCAAGGGGGAAATAGGACTATTAGAACAAATGATTTTATTTTTTTTTCTGTCCTTTTCAGTGGAACTGTCCCATTGACTTAAAAGTCCTGTGATTAGTTAAATTCCTTGCCTTCAGGTCCCCTTACAACCAGCCTGGGTTGCATCCTGTCCATGCTCATCTTAATTATTTTAAATATTTCTTAAAGAGAGATGAGTTTGCTCTGCATCAGCTGATGATGGTTTCCTTCAAATACAAGATGAGCCAGTGATGACTGAGTCACATCCAGGTGCTTACATTTAATCAAATTAATCCCATCAAAATTTTCACTTATAAAAGTCAATCTCAACAGCACAACCTTAAATTCAGGCTTAAAATTCGTCCTCCTGTCTCAAGAGCAGGAACAACTAGATAACAATGGGGTTCAGAACTTTAACTCATGGCAGACCCTAATGTAAACCACTATCCTCTCTACACAACGAGGTATTTATTTTAACTCTGTTAAAACAAGGGCATACAATATTCATACCTGTGGCAGAAGAGGTACTCCTGAGATTTCCTCAACTCCTTGCTCGTTTGAATGTGGAAGCCCATGAAAGACTCCTCCGTTTCTTCTTTGCAGCCAGAATGGATGAACTCCAGGAACTGATCGTAGATTCCCTTCCATCTCTTCTCCACTGGGAACTCCTCAAGGCCCAGCTGACTGCAAAATATAAACATGGAATAAATATTTGGCTTTTCTGCCCCCCTCCTCAATTATTTCAGACTTCGCCTTCAAGTATGGAAGGTTCTCCAGAATCAGATATTAACACAAGAACTATGGGAGCAGAGAAAGATGACAGAGCCTTTTCAGTAACTCAATAAAAAGCAACTCAAGTCTATTGTCTTGACAACGAGGTACTTTGGGTGAAGGAAAATTCCCAGTGCGTGGAACATCAATAATTTGAATGTTTGCTGGTGAACCGATCACAGACTTTCTGCTCCACTTATGGATGTTTCTAAATATAACTATTTATTTTAACTGAAAGCCAACAGAAAACACTGATGGCAAGAAAATAGCTGAGCAACCACCACTAGCAGTTATTTCTGTCTGAAAAGCACAGGAAACTGGAGCTGTTTCCGCAACATCAATACTCTGATGGACTGGAAATGTTTTGAGGAGGAAAGAGGAGGAAATTAAACTGGGTTTTGTGAGAAAAATTCCCCTCAGGGGACAGGCAGCTCTTTTCCACTGGGACTCCCTCATTTGGGTTAAACTGGATGAACCCAGACCCTCCACAGGCTGGCAAACCTTTGCAGGGTTCAGAGCCCCCTGAAGCTCTGATCCTGGCTCCACAGCCTTCCTCCACAGAGAGCACTACCCAATTCCAGTTCTTCAGAGCTTTGCTTCAGTTCTTGATTTTTGGTAGCTTTGCTATCTCTACAATATCAGCTGGTGATATTCATGTAATAGCACAGAGGGACAGGGAAGGAGTAAATGATGCATTTTAGCAGCCAGCCCTTGCCTGTATAGCTTCAGACCTGTCTGTGTGTATGTAAAGACATATGTGTGAGCGCACACACACATGCACAAATCACCAAAAACGTTAAGCCTCCCAAACTCTCTCTGGTGCGAGGATGGGAGTATCTCTAGCTGGATGGGGCAGGATGGGACCAGAATATTCTTTTCCTTCATCCTACGTGGCATAAAGATTAAATGACAAACTGTGCTCTCCTCCCCTCTTTTTTCTCCTTGCATACAAACCAGTTTTTAGACCAACTCTTTCACTAAGGACCGTCTTGATCCCTGCAGGGATTGGTTCAGTACTCCTCTAGGTAGAGTGAAAATGCAAGCTGTGACCCAAGAAGTCAACCCCTGTTGCTCACGCTTTGGTTATCCTGTCATCCAGCTGCTCGTTGGACGTGTTCAGGATGCCGTGTGTCTGAAGGCCTTGGCCCGATTTGTTAGTAAAGGTTCCCTCCAGAGTGAAGCCATTGGCAAAGGACAGCTTTCCCTGCAACGGAGAAATAAAGGGTTATTCTGCCAAGATCTCATTAGTGAGAGGAAACAAGCTGGACCGAGGTCTCAGATTCTCTTTTCAACAGAGCCAGCTCCTGAAACGGTGACTAAGAACGACTTCCAGCAGAGAGGTGCACGTTTTCAACATCCAAAGCAATAGTGACATTAAGGTGACAGCCACCAGATTAAATATCTCCTTGCTATTGAATGACACACGTAGGATTCTGGAGGGGGAAGACCTCCACAATCGCAGAGTAAAACATTTACATTATGCTTGACAAATACCCAATGTCTTCTTTGAGTTATAAAATTTTCTGGCTTAAATTTGACATTAGTTATTTCTAACCTACAGCGAACACACGAAACTTCAACTTCTCCTCTGTTTTTCCTCTGCTTGTTAAAACCGCAAGCAAATTTGGCCTCACAGGTAGGAGGAATCATATGATATTCACCATAAACGCTTTCAAAATGTTCACTGCTACCAAGAAAAACCTTAAATTCTCTGAGGCAAATACAGAAGACATGCAGTAGCTCGACTCAAACGTAGAAAAGTTAATTAAATCAAATCCAAAGCCAAACAATATTGTAACTAGTCTGGCTCTGAATACGAGCCCGAAGTCCTCATGGCTAATAGCAGGAGGCACTCCATCTTAAGATAAAGAACAGACTTTTCTAGAGTAACCACTAAAACTAAACATTAATTCTGGCAGAAGCAGTATCTAAGTACTATAATCAGTCTCTGCAAAATCCACCCCAGGTCTTCTGGCTGAAGAAGGTGATGACAAACTCCTCCTCCCATGACAAGTCACTAAATAACAGGGCTCATTTGCAATCCTTACCAAGTATTTTGACATCCACTCACTCTGATCTAACCACACACTTCCTGTCAGACTCATCACAGACTTCTGTAACAAGCCGGAGGACTAGTTTTCCCTGCAACGGGGCACTTGATGAACACTTCGACCAGATATTTCAGTTAAAGATCAACCACGAAGTGTTGAACGTGTCAGTGCAGTGTCCAGATTGCAAAATCAAGCTTCCAAGATCCCTCAGCTCTGTTAACATCTCAGTTATGTTAGCGTAATGCCACTGCAACTCCATTTGGTTTATACATCGTTTCCTGTGCTCCCAACCACTACAAAGGCTCCAACATTTGTTCTAAGAACGCAAGAGCAGCCCAACTGCAGCTACGAAGCACAGCCAAAAATGTCCCACAGACAATAAAAAAACCCCAAACTCCTCATTGTAAACAAAACAGTAAAAACCAAAACAATTCAACAAAGCCCCAACTACTTGAAGTCTCTCAGCTGCAGCCTTCCTTCTGTGAATGAGACTAACAATAGAAGGGAAAAAAAACCAACAAAACCAAACCAGGAAAATGTTATTTTTCTAGGGGACTGGGGGAAGCGGAGCAGGACAGTATTAATTTTGAAGATGAATCTATCTGCCCTGCTGGAAAGCAAGCAACTGTGAAGGAAGGCTGAGATGGAGGAAGCGCTCACCTTTCCAACAAAGGTTAGATCTTCTGTGAAGTTCCCTTCATAGACAGAGTCATCTTCCAAGAGCAGAATCCCAGAGCCCTGCATTTGAAAGCAGAAGTAGTAAATTTGTGACATTAACTTCCTACCTACTCGAGTTGATCTAGAAACAACCACTGGCTTGGAACATTTATGGGATGCCGACTCGGAGAACCTTTTTGAAAGCCCAACATGGCATTGCAGTGCTCAAGAGAAAAGGAAGGAGGTGTTCTAGAAATAACCCTTTAGACATCACTGCACAGAGAAGTACTGGGCAGTCAGGAGACTTTAACCAACAATCATCCTGCATCCATTTCCCTAGAACAAGGGACAAAAGACAGACTCCTGGTCTAAGAACCATGACAAAGAATTGCCATATGGGTCAAAATTGTGGTCCTCCCAATCCTATGACCTTTAGGTGTTTGTAATCAATTCTGTCATTCTTTGCAAGACAACTAAGAGAAAAAAGGAAGGGAGCTGCTGTGTAGAATTAGCTTTGAGCCTTGCTGTGCAGTCAACGGGGCTTTAATGAGCTGCTCCCGAGCGTTCATAAAATAACTCATTCCATGACCTCCCAACTCCCACGGCTGCTTACGGAAGCACAGATTT